TTGAAAGTGCAGCAGCTGCTGGAGAGTTAACTCTGCTGGGAGCTGCGGCTTCTGGAAGCCTGCTCCATTATACGGTTCCAGCCAGGCAGCTCAGGGGGTGGAGGGGATTTTTGGTTCGGTGGCACTGTGAGCCCACTCAGTCTGGCTATTTCCACTTTGAGCCATCACTAGCTTGTGCTTTAAGCACCCTCCTCTTTCCACTTGCTGGCTCATCTCATCTGGCTTTAATTTGCGTTGTTCCCCTTGCTCCCCTGCCTGCCCCTGGCTGTGTCTGCTTACAGCCGTCCCAGTGGATGTGGCAGCTCCGGTGGGCTGCGGGAGGAACAGCTCCGGTGGGCTGCGGCTCCCGCTGCCCCACGACACTGGTGTGGGCTGAAGGCGAGCACCCTTTTCCGAGGCAGGATGGTGGCTCCTGTGCAAGGAGGTGAGAGTTCCCTTCAGGCCACACCATGGGCACCCCTCGAGTTTGTCCCAGCTGGGCAGGCAGCATGCCATCCCACCTGGAAGGGCATGAGCAGGTAGCGCTTGTCCTCGGTAGGTGACAGTGCAAAGAAATGTGAACTCGTGATATGAACCAAAAATTGCCGACAACTTTGCTTACAGTTCAGAAATTAGTTACACAGCATGTCTCATTTTCCCCTCTACTGGCTTTTATGGTTGTCTCTCATTTCACTCGGCACTGCTGGAAGTGCGTAAGAAATGAACAAAGTGATAACCCATCATTTCTTAACCTGCTTCAAACCCAACTGTGTGGACGTGGGGGAGAGGCCACGTGGTGAAAGAAAATAATTTGGTTGAACTGAAGGGACATATTAGGGTAAAGATCAGATTCTTGCATCCTTAATCAGATCATTAGCTGCTATAAATCAGTATAGCTTGATTGTTTAAATGACATGGCTACATTTATTCAGATGTCTAACCTAGGCACTATAATTATTAGGTTGTTTTATGTCAAGGTAGCCATGAGCTGTTCACTTTATTTAGTAACTAGGAATGCCAGCTCTTTGTTCCCAGTACTACAGTTGTAGGTTTAGTTATATACCATGCGGTGTGCTTTGGATATGGCTCAGTGGCAGTATAGTGATTGTAATTTTAGTTGGCCTCTGCTTGGAGATCTAATCAAATAAAACCCCCACACAAGGTTTTTTTTTGACTGGGGAAAAGAACCCTCTTCTGTCTTTGTATGAAGAAAAAGCCTAGGGAAATAAGCAGGCCACTGAGTGATGCTATTAATTCATCCCCAGTGTTAGGGCAGGGAGGTGGCTGGGCAGTTTCACTTTCTGTTTCTTTTTGTCTGAATCACCTCTACCAACACCCTGCTGTGGCTCCAGCTCCGGTGACAGAGGATGAGTGTTGAATAAACTGTATTTCCCTTGAAGTTAGAAACGAGCATAAAGCCATGCTCAGTGTAGCCAGTTTATGGCTTTAATGGTGTTCAATTAGTCTAGGTCCCATGTAATTTTCTCAACATGAGGTAAAAACACGAGCTTGATAAGGAACTATGCCAATTGACATTATGGGAGGCCCAAGAATGGGTGAGATGTACAAGCCACTTATGCTGTAATGAGCCAAAGCACTGAGGTTGCTAAAACTAACTTCCTCCAACACTGGAGGCATTTTTAGTGCTGTGGCAGAGAGGTTTGCTTACCAGAGGTGGTAAGCAAATGGTCTGATCCTCCTCTTCTAGCGGTGCAAATGAGGAGTAACTCCAAGTAGGTCAGTGGAATAACACCTGTACAAAAGTAGTGCAGCTTGCACCAGCTAAACGGTGCCAAGGTTTTACAGCTGGGATTTCCCCAAGTTGTATGTGGCAACTCAGGAGAGTGAATTATTCATGAGTGCTTATTCCATAAATCTGCTCTTCTCAAAACTGAATGGCAGAACCTGTGAGAAACTGCAGATACACACAGATTCAGGAGGGTCTTTAGATATGGGTTGATCTTACGTGCTTAGTCTATCTTTGCTACTTCAGATAATCCTGCCTACAGAGCATGCATGTATTTTAAGATGAGTCTGGGATGGTACATGCTGAGTTTCTGTTCCTAGTAGGAAGGTTGCATCATGGACTTTTCCTCCCATTTGCAATTATGGGAACCACTTCCTTTCCCATGCATGATCATGTGGCAGCCCTGTAGTCCTTATAGCAACTGCTTACATGGAAAAAAAAAAAAAAAAAGACTAATTTTAGCTTTTTCAAAGGCAGTTTGGTAGTGGGTGACAAGAAGCAGCCAATACCCCGAGGCCAGCTGTTTCTGCAGTGGCTGTCGGTGGTCTGCAGTCCACGGCTGGCAAATTGCTGCTGTGGAGTCTCGGAACACGCGTCATGGACATTTCTCTTGGATTGCTTTGAAGAAGTGACAACTGAGGTGAAAGTTATGCTATCTGTAACCTCTTGAGGGCACAGTTATGTAGATGGATACAGTCTTCACTGGTAACAGTAGTGCAGTGTTTCCAGCTGGTTTCCCTGAACCTTTGGGAGACAGAAACATATATAATGTAGCTAGAACAGATTGCAAGGATGTATCTTAGACCATAACTATTGAGGGCATGACAGCAGGAAGTGAAGTTTAACAAATCTATGGCAAATTGGAGCCTGTAATTATTGATCTTCTTTTCATTGTGCCATGGCAAGTCAATTCCACTTAAATGGGGAGACTAGAAATTTGCAGGTAGGTAGCTCAGATATGACATACTAATTTGGTGAATAATTTCACTCTCTGAATGCAGAGAAATGATTTTAAGAACATTGCAATAATTTAAAGAACATAATGAACTTAAAGGTTAGCCAGTTTTATGAGAGGCAGTGGATCAAAAGACACAAGTATTGCAAGGATGGTCAATTTAAAGAGTGTTATGCTGGCAAGGTGAAGCTTTTCATTAAAATGGTCAGTGTGCAGGAATTATAGAGGAAATCTGCACTAACTCAGAACTCCCTTTGGCTGTGGATGACAGCAAAGCCAGGATCAGAGGGGTAGGAATCCAAGGGAACTGAGCTTGAAACAACTTGCTGACACCTCTCTGAACCTGACACTTTGGCCCTGATGCTGAGTGGCATGGGAGAAGTCAGCCCTCTCCATGATTACAGGGTAGCCGTGTGGTTTGTACTGCCGTCTTTAGTGCTCATCAGTTATTGATTGTACTCAATAGATGCACAAGTTTTGCTGCTCCTTTCACTAAAGGAGCAAAACTTTCATCAAAGCCTTCCCTTTCTCTCCTCATTTCTCTACCTGGTGTCTCTTGAGTCTCATAGGAGTGCTGAAACTCCTGAAACTATGGTTCTTGAATTGTTGGTTAGAAAATCTGGAGGGCTCTTGAACTGAGGAAGGGTGATGAAAGAAGCGTTTGATTATTTGAGAAAAAGTGGACACAGATCCTGACAACTTCTTATTTTGTCTTAGGAAAAAAAGAATTGGCCTTCTGGAAAAAGCTCTCAGCACCACATAAAACTGTTGCACAATCCTTTGCTACATGTCCCATACCAGTAGTGGCCATAATAGTTTCCGCTACCTGTAGGCTGCTCAGGACAAGCATTTGCTGGGTGTGGAGGGCAGAAGAATGAGGAGTGTTCCATCAAGATGAGGAGAACATTGAGTGTGGGGTGATGGCTCTGTGTTGTCTGTGAGGAAGTCTTAGAGAAAGCCTTTGAGATTTTGGGTTGGAGATCCAGAAGGGACACACATCCAAAGGAGACCCGCAAATTGTTAGCGTGTTAATGGCTGAATGAGATGATCAAAGTCTAAAGTGTATGTGGCAGAGAAGGGGAGAGCACTAAAGTCATGTAGAGAAGCTGTCCTTCAAAGAAAA